AGGGGCATTGAGGGTATTTCACCCTAATTATTTATTTTGGTATTTTTTTTTTGCTTAATTACAATGGGTAGTTTTGTAAATCTATAGTGAGGTCGGCCGAAAAGTGGCCGGAATTACGTTTCAGGGGTTAATTTGCACGATTTTGATAGTTTTGGTACTGACTTGTTTGTTGTTATAGTTCAGGGGGGTAAAATGCGGATTCGTAATAGTTCAGGGGGTTTTTTTGCATTTTTGCCAAAATTTTATTATGAGGTTTCAGTTTTGGATTATCTACTTAGTTTCTTTTCAACAGTTTTATTTATTCATGTTTATCTTAATTGTATTCTGTGTTCGTTTATTGCTAATTGGTTTGATATCCTCGGGTAATCGGGCGTGGGCCTGGCCAACCCGCATCAGAAATTCCGGGGGTATCATAGCCGACCAGCTCAAAATAAAAATATAAATTTTCTTAAAAAATTTTATTTTTACAAACTTGAAAAAGGAAAATGTAATATGTATATTTGTAAAAAAAAAAAAATACTCCTGAGTCTCGACCGACTCGCCAAAAATATTGATGTTTTAAAAATAAAATTTTCTCAAAAATTTTGATGTTTACTAACATGGAAAAGGAAAATGTAATTTGCATATTTGGGGGAAAAAAAATGGACCCGTGAAACCAGCCCAAAATATTCGGGTTGGCCCATCCCAACCCGATTTCGGGTTGAAGTTGGGTTGGGACTGAGCTGGGTTGGGTTGGGCCAACCCAACTTGCAGCCCAAATCGTGAGTAAGTGAATTTTAGAAAGAGAAATGAGTTGAGTGTAATATAAAATAGATGTGTATTGTGTGTCTATTATTTGTTGGGTGAAATATGGGTTAAATATGGGTAACCATAATGAACTCATCTTGACCCTCAAATTAAGTGATTAAAAATTACCTAACTCATTTTTGACCCATTTTAAATATGGTTTACCCAAAATCTTAAAAAAGCAGACGGATATGGACTAATTGATGATTTCTAACTCATTTTGCAACCCCTGTTCTCAACACACACATGACTATTCATAATTTCATATGCAAAATATTCTCACATAAAAACACACCCACACAAACACAAACTTCAATTTTTATTTGATAATAATGGTGGTGATTCTATTGGCTGGTGTGGATAAAGAGAAATTAGAGATATTGGAGGCTCCACACAAAGGTTAACCACTAGTCTCAAATGGACATATGTGCCATATAAAAACTACCAATTGTCCATAACCTTAAGTCCAGGACAGTTTCTTTGTGTGACTGGCCAATATGATTATTAAGTGTTATTATTGCCCAAAAAATTTCTTTTTTGAAGTCGAATAATTTAGTAATCAATATAACGGGTAGAAAATAATAAGATGCATTATATGGAAAACACGATCCCTATTATACATACAAGTGTCAACAATTTCTTTCAACAAGTAAAAAGTAACTGGCCTACACACGTCTCTCATCCTTAACGGACTCTGACACTATCAATCACAAGTCCATGACCCATTCCATTCTGTAGATATTATTTCTATACTTACGATTTTCAAAACTTGTGTACATAATTTTAAAGTATTTACTGTAACTTCTCCCCCATGCACTACACAAGATATACCTATTGGTTAGGTTTTGTTTTACATTGTTTAGTTGATCTATTTAGTAAGACTAAATATTATTACTCTATTGCCAATGTTAAGTGGGTTTTGAAAATGTGATAGGCAAGACAAAATGCTAACTAATAATAATGATAAAATAATAAAAAAAGACATGGTAAATAATCACTTAAGAATCTTAAAAAATTGTTCTTATTATAGATTTCTTTTTCTTCTTCTTCTATCTTGAGATGAAAGTCTTCTACCATTGCGATTTGAGATTATGGTGTGAAATTTGCCTAATTTTCTAAATAATCAGCCCACTTGTTTGAATAAATAAGAGAGATAATATGTCATGGCTTGCAAAATTCATTTCAATCTATCTCTAAAGTCCAAGATATGTTTTTTTTTATTTTTGATAATATTAGTTAAATCCACTTTTGACTAGTAGTATTTTTGTACTAGTCTGTTGGATCATGATCGTATGGGCACATAATTGGGGTATGGGGATTACAATTAGGGGTGCACAAAATTAGGCGTACAACTTTGTAGCAGAGGGACTAGGAGGGGTTAAAAGCCAATGCTGCATAGATATGATGCTGCTGGTCGCTGCGGGCTTTGGGAATCGGCACATATTGCCTCATCACAGGGTTGCACACATAGTACCGGCAATCAGAGGTATTGAAGAACAAAAACAAGCCATTGCAACTGTCAAGAAAGTCATTTGCATTAGTCGTTTGGAATGGAAAGTTAGCCAAAAATTCAGAATCAACAAATCCTCCACCACCACCACTAATGCCACAGTTGTCTGCTACAGAAACATAATCAATGAACTCTTCGTTGTCAAAGCGCCTCAAATTACGGAAAAATGCATCCCGTGATTGGTTGCTCGCCTTTGTGGTTACAAAGGGCATATGAGGTGGGAAAGCATAAGTACGGAAGAAAAAGCCATAGAGAGGAAGAGAGCAAAACACAGAGAGTAGATAATCCCTTGATTTGCGTACACATTTGAACCTAATCAGAGGCTTTTCCGGCAATCGATAAAGTATCTCAACCAACACATCATCGGAAAAAAAGCCCATTATTCGAATAAGGAACACAAAGGCGATTCTTTTTATTCCAATTGCGACAATGAAGTATCGTCACATATGCACATGTATACATATATGCATATATATAAAATATATATATTTAGAGTCTCAGTTGCACTGTACCGTTACTATTTATTTCGAAAGATTGTACCTTTACTATTCCATCGGCACTTTTACCTTGGAATCTGAAGATCGCTGAAATCTATCTTCAATCGGAGTCCTCGCCTGAACTAGGGTTTCGGACTAGGGGTTAGCTCTGGTGGGCTAGAGCCCACTAAAAATATATAATTTTTACCATACTAATTTTAGTCCAACCTAAAAAAAATTATTAAAAGAATTAGCCCACACCCAAATCAATTCAGCCACCAAAATAAAGCCCACCCAAATAAACCCTGGGCCGGCCCTGACCGAAGGCGTCGAAGGCAGTCGCCTAGGTCACCATAAAAACAATATATATTTAGGGCAAATCATTTCAGCCTCCCCAATCGCCTCCATCTCCATTCTCGTTCTCGACTCTGAACTTGCCCCTCTCTGTGCAAACTACAAAATCTACAAGAATCAGAAGTTCAAAACCCATATATTTCAGTTTATCTATCTGTCTGCAAGAATCAAATGTTCAAAACCCATATCGGCATATCATTTCAGATTATTCAAAAAATCAAAACCCAGATATTTCAGTTCCCATCGCCCGCTGTTCCAGTTCGGGTTCGCCGATCGCAAGCTTCAGCCGCTGGCCCGCTGTCTCTCAACTCTCAAGGTTGCCCCTCTCTCTCTCTCTCTCTCTGCAACTGCTAACTTGTATGTATGGGTTTTGTTTTAAATTTTTTTCTAAATCAACTAATCAAGGTCTGTAGTTCGTGTTTTGCAAACTGTATCCTATTTGGTGAAATTTTTAATGATCGTTTTTTAATATATATATATTTACAATATAAAGTAACAAAATTGGTAATCACCGTAATCTACATTTTATTTCAGCAAAATAAATATTTATTTATTTATTTTTTATTTCTATAACTTCTATTTCTATTTTTTTATTTTATTTTTTTTTATTTTGTCAATTATGTCTACAAGAAAATTTGAATCTGGGCATGAAAAAAGAAAAAAAAAAAAAAAAAAAAAAAATCTGAATTGGATTAGAAATATGCAGAGATTGAATCTGAAATAATTTTTATCAAGCGTGTTTTGAAGATGCAAATCTTTTGAGAACTAAAAAAAAATCATTACAAGAACTTTGACAAGCAAAAGTAATTAATACATGGTAAAGCTCTAAGTTACTTCTTGAAAATTGAAATACTTAGAAAAAGCATGCTTTTGAGTGAATTCCGTAGTGTTGGAAGGGGCTTGCCATGAACTACCTCACACTCTGCTTCCACTAGTAGATTCTCAAATAGGATTTGTAAATTGGTCAAAAGAAGAGATAGGGTACTGAGTGGTGAATTGTTCATAAATAAATTGGTAATTTTTTTTTATTAATTAGCCAAATAGGATTTTCTATGCCTTAATCTATCAATTGTCTAAAGAAACATTGTTAGTTAACTAAAATTGAATTAAATAACCGTTAATTTTGGTTGATATATTTTGATTTATCCCACCCCATTAAGAAATTCTGGATGTTTTGTTTCACATAGAAATACAATGAAGGATATATTCAATCTTTATGATATATTTTTATTTTCAAATTTTGGTTTTTGATTTTCTTTTGTTATTAGAATGCAGAATATCAGGACATTGATATGTTAATTTTGAAGATTATTCCTAAACTGATGCATTGTACTTTGTTATTGGATTAATTTAACTGAAAGCATAGTTGGGTTGGGTTGATACATGATACAGATAGTACTTAGATGGTGGTTTTTTTATTGTTATGAGTGAGATTGTGAAACCTCTTCCTCACAACTTGAGTGTTTTTTTATTTTTAGGGTTAGCATCGGGCCTTAACATTTAGCAAGAACAAGGTTCAAGAAACATGTCTCCTCAGTCATCAGGTAACAAACTCTTTACTTTTTTTAAAATTTTAATTGGCATTTTTAGCTATTGGTTATGTTTATTTATTCATGTTTTAGATACTGAATTTTTGTTTTTGTTTTTGTTTCTACATACATATATATAATATTGTTATGATGTGATGCTCAAACAATTTATTAATGGGAATTAAAGACTTGGAAGTTTAGTTTTCAATTGCAGAATATATGTTTTACAAGTTTATTAATGCTTTTAAAACTTTTTCTCTTTTGTCCTAATAATATAGGTCTCTTTTCTAAAAGAAGAGAGTTGATGGGAATGGGTGGAGTAGGGGAAAAAGTAAATAGGTATGTTTTTTTTGCCTAACTAATTGACGATTCTAGATAAGGATGTTACGTGATTCTAGATGACGATTCTAGATGACGATTCTAGCAGGGCTGTTTGATTGGGACAACTTCTTTGCCATGTTCGACTTGCTGGGCATTACGTTAGTAAATCTTCGTTTGTATATCTTTCATTGCCATGGTTTTTGTTATGTAATAATTTGGGTGTTTCATAATTTGATTTTTGTTCTGTAGAGCTGTGAAGTTGAAGGGGCATCTGGTGTTAATGAACCCCTCTGAAAAGGGCTGGATTCATGTCTGCTGCTTGTGATCACCTAGGATTTGCTAATAAAGTCTCATTATCTTATGAAGATGGAGTTCAACATGGTCGCAGCATCATATTGTTCTAATGGTGTTTGGGACATGGTCGTAAAATTCCTAAGTTGGTATTTGATTATAAGTCTCGTGAGGTCCCTCAATATATTCCTAACGAGGAATTCCATATGTTCAGATTGTTAAGAATTATCTACATCATGCTGGTTCTGAAGCGGTTCTGAAGCAAAAGAAGATCTTAATTTGTCATTTTCAAAAAAGGAAGCAGGTTTGGAGCTCTCCCATGTGTAGATACAAGATATGTATGCGGGAATCATATGGGAGCTCTCCCATATGTTTCCTGGATACATGTCTTCTATCTACACAACTTTGGTGACCAAATTTCCAAAGTTGAATATTTGGTTGAAGGAGTGAAGTAAGTACTCCCTATTTTCATAACTAAATATAGAAATTCTCGCTTTCTTGAAAAGAATCTAATCATATATAATTCTTGTTTGTTCATTTGATGTTGTTAAGCATGTTATTGTTATGTATTGTCTTTTGTTATCTGTTTAACTTCTACAACTAAAGTTTAGGATTGACTCTGTATGTACACTTTTGTTCATTTTTAGTTGATGCACGACAGTTTGATTTTTTTGTTGTTTTCTTTAGTGTTACCACTAATCGGGGTGTTGCTATTAGGGCCTAGTTAAGTGCGTCTATGTTTGGCTTGTTGATTGTTTCTAATGGTTGCAGTACATTGGTGGATGTACATAGGTTGAACATTCTTTTTTGGCGCCAAGTAATGTTTGGTTGGGATATGTAATGGGAGTTTTAATATTTTAAGTTATAACTTGTTGAATTGGTTTTTCTTTTGCCGTGATAATGTTTGGGATATGTAATGGAGGTTTTAATATTCAGGTTATAACTTGTTGACCTGGTTTTTCTTTTGCCGTGACAATGTGACAATATTTGGGATATGTAACTGAGATTTGGCTGTTACTTGACTGGGATTAATGCATGGTTTTTATAGTTCAATTTTATTTTTGCATCTTAAATGTTTTATAGCATTATTTTGTGTGTTTCTCTACACTTGTGCTAGTCTTCATGGGCATGTCAGTGATGCAAATGGATTGAACGGTGTGAAAGCGTGGCCAGATGAACTGGCTGGTTCACTTGATGATATAGTTTTCAATCAGCAGATGATTGTTATGAAAGCCTGATTGATACTTGCTATATGACTTGTTCCATCTACTTTCCCAAATCAGATTTCGGTAGAGAGAACAATGACGTAGTTAAGAAGCAACTAATTTGAGTGAATTCCTTCTTACATATGACAGAGGGCCATATTTTTAGTGGTAAAGACTCTTTTATTAGCAATAATTCACATGTTAGGTTTTGCTGCGTCTGTTAATAGTGTCACCATCATTGCCTGCCTTCAACCTGTTCTGTGAAACTGTTAGCCTTGCATTTTTAATGATATCCATATGCTAATCACTCTTTTTTTAATTCATTGTGATAACTAATCCATTCATTATGTGGACTAAATTGATGCTATCAGAAACACAATAGCGATGTGTTTTGTCTTTGTTTCACCCTTTCGCTCTTTCTTTCTTTGTTCTTGTTTTTTGAATCCTGCATTTCGGATTAGTTCACAACCACCTAGTAAAGATACCAGTTCTTGAATCGTATTATGTTATAGATACAAATTTGTTTTTGAAGCTGTACTTGTGATAACAGGGTAGTGGATTGACCCCATTGTTAGTGGACCTTTGAACTGAATGAGGGTTAAATACATATAGCTCTACGACTGTAATGGAACTCTTCCACCTTTTACAAATATAGGGTTCATTATATGTCATTATTGTCTTTGTTATTAATGTTTAGACATATGGTTTAATTTATTACTATGATTGAAACTTTTTGGGTTGTTTAGTGGGAACAAAACATTGGCCATTTTGAAAGAAAATAAATAGAAAAATGAATCAAAGTTGTGTCATTTATGTACCTAAATTTTGTAGAATAAACATTTCATGTCTCAATGTATATGTTCTCATCCCCATCTTTTTCTTGATTTTGTGCCTATGAGACGCATTATGCTACTAATTTAAATTAATGGCATGTGTGTATGGTATTCTGACTGATTGAAGTGTGATCCTATTAGTGTTGTGGTGCATGTTGACAAGGTACGCAATTGAGGTCTAGGGGTGGCAAATGGGCGAGTGGGGCCGGGTTTGGGTTGGGTTGAAAATGAGCGGGTCAAACATGGGTCAAGACTCATATTCAACCCGCTCTGAACGGGTTGAAAATAGGCGGGTAAAAAATGAATAGGGGTCAACTTATCATGATCCGTGAATTCATTAATTATTATTATTATTATTATTATTAATTTTTGTTTTTTAGAAGGTTTTAAAAAATATAATAACAAATAAAAAAAACAATCCCAAACCTAGTAATATTTACCGACTCGATTTAGAGAGAAGTGAAGGAAAGAGAAGAAATATTTGATATTTAAAAAAAAAAAAATTTAAAAATTTGATGTTTATAAACATGGAAAAAGAAAATGTAATTTGTATATTTGAAAAAAGAATTAAAAAATTGATCCATTAAACCTGAATGCTCCGTCTGAAATTTTGTAAAAATTAAAATTTTCTTAAAATTTTTTATATTTACAAACATGGAAAAGGAAAATGTAATTTGTAAAAAAAAATAAAAAATTTGTCCCATGAAATCCGCTGACTCAAAATATATTGATGTTTTAAAAATAAAATTTTTTTAAAAACTTTGATGTTTACAAACCTAGAAAAGGAAAATGTAATTTGCATATTTGGAAAAATAATAATAATAAATAATTTTTGACTCTTGAAATTCGTCCGACGTGCCTAAAATATTGATGTTTTAAAAATAAAATTTTGTTAGAAAATTTGATGTTTACAAATATGGAAAAGGAAAATGTAATTTGCATATTTGAAAAAAAAAATTAAAATTAAAATTTTGACCCATGAAACTCGCCCGACCCGTCCAAAATATGGATGTTGAAAAAATAAAAAATTTGATGTTTACGAACTTGGAAAAGGAAAATGTAATTTGTAAAAAAAAAAATGACCGACCCAAAATATTGATATTTTTAAAATTAAATTTTCTTAAAAATTTTTATATTTACAAATATGAAAAAGAAAATGTAATTTGCATATTTGAAAAAAAAATAAAAATAAAAATTTTGACCCTTGAAACCCGGCCGACCCGCCCAAAATATTGATATTTAAAAAATAAAATTTTTGATGTTTACAAATTTGGGAAAGGAAAATGTAATTTGTATATTTGTAGGAAAAAAAAATGACCTATGAAACCCGGCCGACTCGCCCAAAATATTGATGTTTATAAACACGGACAAAGAAAATGTAATTTGCATATTCGAAAAAAAAAAAAACCCGGCTGACCCGCCTAAGATATTGATGTTTAAAAAATATAAATTTTCTTAAAAAATTTTATTATTACAAACTTGAAAAAGGAAAATGTAATTTGTGTATTTGTTAAAAAAAAAAAAAAAATATAGCCCATGAAACCCGATCGACTCACCAAAAATATTGATGTTTTAAAAATAAAATTTTATTAAAAATTTTGATATTTACAAATACGGAAAAAGAAAATATAATTTGCATATTTGAGGAAAAAAAAATGGACCCGTGAAACCAGCCCAAAATATTCGGGTTGGCCCAACCCAACCTGATTTCGGGTTGAGGTTGGGTTTGGATTGGGCTGGGTTGGGTTAACCCAACTTGCTGCCCTAATGGTGAGTGAGTGAATTTTAGAGAAAGAAATGAATTGAGTGTAATATAGAATAAATGTGTATTGTTTATCTATTATGTGCTAGGTGAAATATGGGTTGAATATGGGTAACCATAATGAACCCATCTTGACCCTCTAATTAAGTGATTAAAAATTACCTAACTCATTTTTGACCCATTTTAAATATGGTTCACCCAAAATCATAAAAAAGTGAACGAATATGAACTAATTGACGATTTCTAACTCATTTTGCAACTCCTAGTCTCAACACACACATTCATATGCAAAATATTTTCACACAAAAGCACATCCACACAAACACAAACTTCAATTTTTATTTGATAATAATGGTGGTGATCCTATTGGCCGGTGTGGATAAAGACAAATTAGAGATCTTGGAGGCTTCACACAAAGGCTAACCACTAGTCTCAAATGGACTATGTGCCATACAAAGACTACCAATTGTCCACAACCTTAAGTCCAGGACAGTTACTTTGTGTGACTGGCCAATATGATTATTTAGTGCTATTATTGCCCAAAAAATTTCTTTTTTGAAGTCGAATAATTTAGTAATCAGTATAACGGGTAGAAAATAGTAAGATGCATTATATGGGAAACACGACCCCTATTATACATAAAATTGTCAACATTTTCCTTCAACAAGTAAAAAATAACTGACCTACCTCTTATGGATTGTGCACAAGTCTCACATCTTTAACGGGCTCTGACGCTATCAATCACAAGTTCACGACCCATTCCATTCTGTAGATATTATTTCCGTACTTAAGATTTTCAGAACTTGTCTACATAATTGTAGAGTATTTACTATAACTTCTCCCTCATACACTACACAAGATATACCTATTGGTTAAGTTTTGTTTTACATTGTTTAGTTGATCTATTTAGTAAGACTAAATATAATTACTTTATTGCCAATGTTAAGTGGGTTTTGAAAATGTGATAGGCATGACAAAATGCTAACTAATAATAATAATAATAAAAAGACATGGCAAATAATCACTTAAGAATCTTTAATAATTGTTCTTATTATAAATTTATTCTTCTTCTTCTTCTTTTATCTTGAGATAAAAGTTTTCTACTATTGAGATTTGAGATAATGGTGTGAAATTTGCCTAATTTTCTAAATAATCAGCCCACTTGTTTGAATAAATGAGAGAGATTAATATGTCACGGCTTGCAAAATTCATTTCAATTGGATCTCTAAATTCCAAGACACGTTTTTTTTTTTTTTTTTTTTTTTTTTGATAATATTAGTTAAATCCACTTTTGACTAGTAGTATTTTTGTACTAGTATGTTGGATCATGATCGTATGTGCGCATAATTGGTTGTTGGAATGTTAGAGGGCTTAATAGACCCTCTATGCAGAAAGAAGTTAGGCAATGGGTTTTTGCTAAATAGTTTGCCTTGGTTGTTTTGGTGGAGACTAGAGTTAAAGTTATGAAAGCAGTTCGTGTTCAGAATAAAATTTGTTCTCCTTGGAATTGGATGGCTAATTATATGGCGAATACGTTAGGGAAGATCTGGATTGGGTGGAATAAGGTTGTTTTTGATGTTATTTTAGTGAAAGAGGAGGCTCAAACTATGCTTCTTAAAGTTAAACATTTTCATTCAAGTCTCACATTTTGGGTTTCTGCTATCTATGCTGCTAACACAGTTCAAGAAAGGAAGGTATTGTGGTCTGATTTGAAAATTCATGCTTCTTTGGTGGAGGGGCCTTGGCTTGCTTTAGGAGACTGGAATATGGTTTGTTTTCATAAAGAGAAATTAGGTGGTTTGAGGGTTCCTCAGCCAATCTTGATGAATTTAACTTACTTGTTAAGGACCTAAAAATGGAAGACATTCCAATTGATAGTGAGACTTGGTCCTGGTGTAATAAGCAAAGGATTCAGAAGAGAATTAATGCTAAGTTGGATAGAGTTTTGGCTAATGATAGTTGGTTCAATTTATTCACAGATTCCAAAACTTATCTCACTTACGCTTCTTTGTCTGACCATTATGGTTTGGCAGTTAAGTGGCATATGGACTGTTCTGAAGTACCTAATCCCTTTAAATTTCTGAAGATTTGGTGCTTGCAGCATGAAGTTGAGGATGTTGTAGCTCAAGCTTGGAGTTGTCCCGTCTCTGGAAATCCTTTTCATCAGCTGTAAAGGAAGCTTAGAGAGATAAAAACTGCTATTAAGGTTTGGAATCTCAAGAAAAGCACAACCTCTGAGCAAGTTAAGGTTGCTAGACATGATCTTGAGGTGGTGCAGCTTCAGTTTCTGAATGATCATCTGAATCAAGACTTGATTGATAAGGAGAGAGCTTTAAGCCTTGATCTTCAGCATTCTTGTGATCTTGAGGAAGTGGTTTGGACTCAGAAATCTCGTCTTACTTGGCTTTAGGAGGGAGATAAATGTTCAGCATTCTTTCATAATGTGGTGAAGCAACGTAGATGTAATAATGCTATTACTTGTTTGAAAAATACAGATGGGGAGGTTTCGGAAGATCTAAAGGTTATTAAGGATTGGCTGGACAATTTCTTTGAAAATTTGTTTTCTACTTCGAACTCTGTTGATAATTCGGTTAGAAGGCCTAGAAAGTCTCTCTCTGAGGAGGCTGGTAGCACTTTGAACTGTGATATCAGTGCTGAAGAAGTCAAAAACGTAGTGATGAATTTTAATCTAGATAAATCACCAGGTCTAAGTGGTTTCCCAGCAAGGTTTTTTCAAAGGTATTGGACTATTGTTGGGATTGATGTTCTTGCTACAGTGATGTTTTTCTTTCATAATAATTTTATGCCTCTTGGGGTTAAAGCTACTTTCCTTACTTTAATTCCAAAGGAGGGTCATGGTGATAATATTGCTAACTATAGGCCTATTTCTTTGTGTAATTTTACCTATAAGATCATTGCTAAAATTTTAGCTAATAGGCTTAGAAGTGTGCTGTCCACTTTGGTTGGTTTGGAGCAATCTGCGTTTGTTAAAGGGCGTCGGATTCATGATAATATTATTCTTGTGACGGATATGATTAAAGGTTTTGGTCTCAAGAGGTGGGATCCATTTATGGCTCTGAAGGTAGACTTGAAAAAAGCTTTTGATTCGGTTGAGTGAAGTTTTCTTGAAAATATTATGACCCTTCATGGGTTTAGTGACAAATGGATTTCTTGGTGTATGAAGTGTGTCTCTAATGTTAATTTCTCTGTGCTCTGTAATGGATTACCTGCCGGTTTCTTCTCAGCTTCTAGGGGCCTGAGACAGGGATGTTCTCTTTCCCCATTGCTTTTTACTTTAGTTGTTGAGCATTTATTTTCCCTTATGGCAGCTAGTATATGATGGATCCATTAAGCTCTATAACGCGGCTGTCAATTCTGGTTTGAAGATTTCTCATGCTCTTTATGCCAATGATTTGCTTATTGTTGTTAAGGCTGGAATAGGTACTGCTCGATCAATTGTGGATGTATTTGAGAAATTTACAAGTGCCACTGGTCTCTCTATAAATAATGATAAGAGCTCAATAATTTTTTCTAAAGCGGTTCGGTGTAAGAATCGGATTCTGTAAGTTTTGAAGTTCAGAGAAGAAAATTTCCCTTTCAAATATCTGGGTATCCCTTTGGCTAATAGATCTTTGAGAAGTTCTGATTACAAGCCTCTAATTGACAAAGTTGATGCTCGGTTGAATCACTAGAACACTCTTAATCTTTCTATGGCTGGTAGGATTGAGCTTTTGAGATCAGTCCCTTACTCTTTTCTTTATCATTGGTTGTTTGGCTTTAAAATTCCATGGGGCTGTAGGATCACTCTCGAAAAGAAGTTTAAGAAATTTTTATGGAGTGGTAAAACAGGGAGTACTAAGATGTCTTAGATTAAATGGAGTCAGGTTACGCTTCCTCATGATTAATGAGGTTTTAATCTCCGTCGGATTAGTGACATTCTCCGTCGGATCAATGACATTGATGTTGCTTCTAAGCTTTCGATCTGTTGGGATTTTGTTGAAAAGAAAGATAATCTCTGGATTAAGTGGCTGCAGGCTAGATACTTTACTTCTTCTAATTTCTGGACAATTAATTCTAGAAATTCTGATTCAGTTATTTGGAAACAGATTTTGGAGGTCCGAGATCAGTTGTTGCCTCACCTTATATTTAAAGTGGGCAGTGGGAAGTCTTTCAATTTGCTTCATGATCCTTGGTGTGCTTCTCTTTCGATTGCTCAGAGATTTGGGGTAGTGTTTTTTAGAAATTTTGATTCTATGGCTAAGGTTGAGTCCATTGTTCATGGAAATCAATGGCGTTTTTCAGAGTTTTTTCCTTCCTTGGGTAGAGATTTTATTTTTAGATTGCAGATAAATGCTGGTCAAGACACTATTCTTTGGCAGCATGGCGTTTTTTCTTTGAAAGTAGCATGGGAAGTGTGCAGATTGTGGGATCAGAAGCTGAAATGTTTTAAGCTTTGTTGGAAGGTTGTAGACCTTGGACTGCTGTGGTTGTTCATATTATTATGTTGAATAAAAATATTTCCTTTGTGAATTTGCAAAAGAGGGGTTTACAGGTGCCTTTAGTGTGTCACAATTGTTTTGCTAATGTAGATTTTAATGCTCATTTGTTCTGCTCTTGTCCATTGGCGAATAAGGTTTGGAAGGATCTGTTCAAATTGTTTAAATATCTGTTGCAGGACTTCATCTCTATGGATCAGATTGTGGATTGGTTTTTGCTTAATGCTTCTACAAAGAGCGCTAAATCTAAGATTCTTAGGACTGTGTTTTCAGTCACCATTTGGATAATTTGGAAGGCTCGGAATAAATCTTTGCATCAAGGTATCTAGGAAGATGTGGATCAATTAGTCAAGCAAGTTATCTGGGAGATCCTTCTTCTTCATAGCTTTTATCTTTTGGAGCTGCTTGAATTATTCAATTAGCTTGATTGTTGAAATTTTTTGTTTCGGTTTGCTTGATCTGGAAGTGGGCTTGTCTACTTCTAGATTAGTTGTTTGGAGCGATTCCTCCTTTTTTGTGCATATTTTCTTTTGTTTATAAAACCACCCATTAAAAAAAAAAAAACTGTGAACCGGACCGAACTAGTATTAGAATGGTATATGTCCAACAGAAGTGTTTTTTTTTTTATTTATTATTATTATTTTTTATTTTTTATTTATTTATTTATTTTTATCATTGTGGATTGTGCAACGCGTACAACTCTGTAGCAGAGGGACTAGGAGTGGTTAAAAAAGCCAATGTCGCATAGATATGATACTGTCGGTTGCTGCGGGCTTTGGGAATCAGCACATATTGCCTCATCACAGGGTTGCACACATAGTACCGGTAATCAGAGGCATTGAAGAACAAAAACAAGCCGTTGTAACTGTCAAGAAAGTCATTTGCATTAGTCGTTTGGAATGGTAAGTTAGCCAAAAATTCAGAATCAACAAATCCTCCACCACCACCACTAATGGCACAGTTGTCTTCTACAAAAACATTATCAATGAGCTGTTCGTTGTCAAAGCGCCTCAAATTACGGAAAAATGCGTCCCGTGATTGGTTGCTCGCCTGTGTGGTTACAAGGGGCATACGAGGTGGGAAAGCATAAGTACGGAAGAAAAAGCCACAGAGAGGAAGAGAGCAAAACACAGAGATTATATAATCCCATGATTTGCATACACATTTGAACCTAATCAGAGGCTTTTCCGGCAATCGACACAGTATCTCAACCAACACATCATCGGAAAAAAGCCCATTATTCGAATAAGGAGCACAAAGGCGATTCTTTTTATTCCAATTGCGACAATGAAGTATCATCACATATGCACATGTGTACATATATACATATATATAAAATTTATATATTTAGAGTCTCAGTTGCACTGTACCGTTACTATTTATTTCGAAAGATTGTACCTTTACTATTCCATCGGCACCTTTACCTTGGAATCTGAAGATCGCTGAAATCTATTTTCAATCGGAGTCCTTGCCTGAACTAGGGTTTCGAACTAGGGGTTAGCTCTGGTGGGCTAGAGCCCACTAAAAATATATATTTTTTACTATACAAACTTTAGTCCAACCTAAAAAAAATTATTAAAAGAATCAGCCCACACCCAAATCAATTCAGCCACCATACTAAAATAAAAGCCCAACCCAAATAAGCCCTGGGCCGGCCCTGATCGAAGGGGACAAAGGCAGTCGCATAGGTCACCATAAGAACAAAATATATTTAGGGCAAATCATTTCAGCCTCCCCAATCGCCTCCATCTCCATTCTCGTTCTCGACTCTGAACTTGCCCATCTCTCAGTGCAAACTACAAAATCTACAAGAATCAGAAGTTCAAAACCCATATATTTCAGTTTATCTATCTGTCTGCAAGAATCAAATGTTCAAAACCCATATCGGCATATCATTTCAGATTATTCAAAAAATCAAAACCCAGATCTTTCAGTTCCCATAGCCCGCTGTTCCAGTTCGGGTTCGCCGATCGCAAGCTTCAACCGCTGGCCCGCTTTCTCTCAACTCTCAAGCTTGCCCCTCTCTCTCTCTCTGCAACTGCTAACTTGTATGTATGGGTTTTGTTTTAAATTTTTTTCTAAATCAACTAATCAAGGTCTGTAGTTCTTGTTTTGCAAACTATATCCTATTTGGTGAAATTTTTAATGATCTTTTTTAAATATATATATATATATATATATATATATATTTACAATATAAAGTAACAAAACTTGCATTGCATTTTGAGGTAATCACCGTAATCTACATTTTATTTCAGCAAAATAAATAATTTTATTTATTTATTTATTTCTATAACTTCTATTTCTATTTATTTATTTATTTATTTATTTTTTTGTGTCAATTATATCTACAAGAAAATTTGAATCTGGGAATGAAAAAAGAAAAAAAAAAATGTTAATTGGATTAGAAATCTGCAGAGATTGAATCTGAAATAATTTTTATCAACATGCCAAGCTTTTTGAAGAAGCAAATCTTTTGAGAACTAAAAAAAAAAACTCATAATAACAACTTTGACAAGCAAAAGTAATTAATATAGGGTAAAGCTCTAAGTTACTTCTTGAAAATTAAAATACTTAGAAAAAGCATGCTTTTGAGTGAATTCCGTAGTGTTGGAAGGGGCTTGCCATGAACTACCTCACACTCTGCTTCCACTAGTAGATTCTCAAATAGGATTTGTAAATTGGTCAAAAGAAGAGATAGGGTACTGAGTGGTGAATTGTTCAGAAATAAATTGGTAATTTTTTTTTTTTTTTTTAATTACCCAAATAGGATTTTCTATGCCTTAATCTATCAATTGTCTAAAGAAACATTGTTAGTTAACTAAAATTGAATTAAACAACAGTTGATTTTGGTTGATATATTTTGATTTAGCCCACCCCATTAAGAAATTCTGGATGTTTTGTTTCACATAGAAATACAATGAAGGATATATTCAATCTTTCTGCCATATTTTTATTTTCAAATTTTGGTTTTTGATTTTCTTTTGTTATTAGAATGCAGAATATCAGGATATTGATATGTTAATTTTGAAGATTATTCCTAAACTGATGCATTGTACTTTGTTATTGGATTAATTTAACATAAGAGCTGAGTATAATATGTGCTAATCACACCTATCCTTAATCACACCTCTTTCTACGGATAGGTGTCCAACATTTTGACTGAAAATATAGTTAGGTTGGGTTGATACATGATACAGATAGTACTCAGATGGTGGTGTTTTAATTGTTATTAGTGAAATTGTGAAACCTCTTCCTCACAACTTGAGTTTATTCTTATTTTTAGGGTTAACATCGGGCCTTAACATTTAGCAAGAATAAGGTTCAAGAAACATGTCTCCTCAGTCATCAGGTAACAAACTCTTTACTTTTTTTAAAATTTTAATTGGCATTTCTAGCTATTGGTTATGTTTATTTATTCATGTTTTAGATACTGAATTTTTGTTTTTGTTTTTGTTTCTACATACATATATATAATATTGTTATGATGTGATGCTCAAACAATTTATTAATGGGAATTAAAGACTTGGAAGTTTAGTTTTCAATTGCAGAATATATGTTTTACAAGTTTATTAATGCTTTTAAAACTTTTCCTCTTTTGTTCTAATAATATAGGTCTCTTTTCTGAAAGAAGAGAGTTGATGGGAATGGGTGGAGTAGGGGAAAAAGAAAATAGGTATGTTTTTTTTGCCTAACTAATTGACGATTCTAGATAAGGATGTTACGTGATTCTAGATGACGATTCTAGATAACGATTTTAGCAGGGCTCTTGATTGGGACAACTTCCTTGCCATGTTCGACTTGCTGGGCATTACGTAAGTAAATCTTCGTTTGTATATCTTTCATTGCCATGGTTTTTGTTATGTAATGGGTGTTTCATAATTTGATTTTTGTTCTGTAGGGCTGAGAAGTTGAAGGGGCATCCGGTGTTAATGAACCCCTTTGAAAAGGGCTGGATTAATGTCTGCTGCTTGTGATCACCTAGGATTTGCTAATAAAGTTTCATTATCTTATGAAGATGGAGTTCAACAAGGTCGCAGCGTCATATTGTTGTAATGGTGGTTGGGACATGGTTGTAAAATTCCTAAGTTGGTATTTGATTATAAGTCTCGTGAGGTCCCTCAATATATTCCTAACGAGGAATTCCATATGTTCAGATTGTTAAGAATTATCTACATCATGCTGGTTCTGAAGTGGTTCGGAAGCAAAAGAAGATCTTAATTTGTCATTTTCAAAAAAGGAAGCAGGTTTGGAGCTCTCCCATGTGTAGATAGAAGATATGTATTCGGGAAACATATGGGAGCTCTCCCATATGTTTCCCGGATACATGTCTTCTATCTACACAACTTTGGTGACCAAATTTCCAAAGTTGAATATTTGGTTGAAGGAGTGAAGTAAGTACTCTCTATTTTCGTAACTAAATATAGAAATTCTCGCTTTCTTGAAAAGAATCTAATCATATATAATTCTTGTTTGTTCATTTGATGTTGTTAAGCATGCTATTGTTATGTATTGTCTTGTGTTATCTGTTTAACTTCTACAACTAAAGTTTAGGATTGACTCTGTAAGTACACTTTTGTTCATTTTTAGTTGATGCACGACAGTTTGATTTTTTTGTTGTTGTTTTCTTTAGTGTTACCACTAATCGGGGTGTTGCTATTAGGGCCTAGTTAAGTGCGTCTATGTTTGGCTTGTTGATTGTTTCTAATGGTTGCAGGTCATTGGTGGATGAACATAGGTTGAACATTCTTTTTTGGCGCCAAGTAATGTTTGGTTGGGATATGTAATGGGAGTTTTAATATTTAAGTTATAACTTGTTGAACTGGTTTTTCTTTTGCCGTGACAATGTTTGGGATATGTAATGGAGGTTTTAATATTTAGGTTATAACTTGTTGACCTGGTTTTTCTTTTGCCGTGACAATGTGACAATATTTGGCATATGTAACTGAGATTTGGCTGTTACTTGACTGGGATTTATGCATGGTTGTTATAGTTCAATTTTATTTTTGCATCTTAAATGTTTTATAGCATTATTTTGTGTGTTTCTCTACACTTGTGCTAGTCTTCATGGGCATGTCAGTGATGCAAATGGATTGAACGGTGTGAAAGCGTGGCCAGATGAACTGGCTGGTTCACTTGATGATATAGTTTTCAATCAGCAGATGATTGTTATGAAAGCCTGATTGATATTTGCTATATGACTTGTTCCATCTACTTTCCCAAATTAGATTTCGGTATTGAGAACAATGAAGTAGTTAAGAAGCAACTAATTTGAGTGAATTCCTTCTTACGTATGACAGAGGACCATATTTTTAGTGGTAAAGACTCTTTTATTAGCAATAATTTACATGTTAGGTTTTGCTGCGTCTGTTAATAGTTAGTATGCTCGAATGTGCATGTCACCATCATTGCCAGCCTTTAACCTGTTCTGTGAAACTGTTAGCCTTGCATTTTTAATGATATCCATATGCTAATCACTCTTTTTTTAATTAATTGTGATAACTAATCCATTCATTATGTGGACTAAATTGATGCTATCAGAAACACAATAGCGATGTGTTTGTCTTTGTTTCACCCTTTCGCTCTTTCTTTCTTTGTTCTTGTTTTTCGACTCCTGCATTTCGGATTAGTTCACAACCACCTAGTTAAGATACCAGTTCTTGAATCATATTATGTTATAGATACAAATTTGTTTTTGAAGCTGTACTTGTGATAACAGGGTAGTGGATTGACCCCATTGTTAGTGGACCTTTGAACTGAATGAGGGTTAAATACATATAGCTCTACGACTGTAATGGAACTCTTCCACCTTTTACAAATATAGGGTTCATTATATATCATTATTGTCTTTGTTATTAATGTTTAGACATATGGTTTAATTTATTCCTATGATTGAAACTTTTTGGGTTGTTTAGTGGGAACAAAACATTGGCCTTTTTGAAAGAAAATAAATAGAAAAATGAATCAAAGTTGTGTCATTTATGTACCTAAATTTTGTAGAATAAACATTTCATGTCTCAATGTATATGTTCTCATCCCCATCTTTTTCTTGATTTTGTGCCTATGAGACGCATTATGCTACTAATTTAAATAAATGGCATGTATGTGTGGTATTCTGACTGAATGAAGTGGTGATCCTATTAGTGTGGTGGTGCATGTTGACAAGGTATGCAGTTGAGGTCTAGGGGTGGCAAATGAGCGGGTTGGGTTGAAAATGAGCGGGTCAAACATGGGTTAAGACTCATATTTGACCCGTTCTGAACGGGTTGAAAATGGACGGGTAAAAAATGTATAGGGGTCAACCCATCATAACCCGTGAACCCATTAATTACTATTATTATTATTATTATTATTATTTTTTTTTTTGGAAGGTTTTAAAAAATATTATAACAAATAAAAAAAATAATCTCAAACCCAGTAATATTTATCGACTCGTTTTAGAGAGAAGTGAAGGAAAGAGAAGAAATATTTGATATTTAAAAAAAAAAAAAAAATTTAAAAATTTGATGTTTATAAACATGGAAAAAGAAAATGTAATTTGCATATTTGAAAAAAACAATAAATAAAATTGACCCATTAAACCCTACCGACCCGTCTGGAATTTTGATGTTTAAAAATTAAAACTTTCTTAAAATTTTTTATATTTATAAACATGGAAAAGGAAATTGTAATTTGTAAAAAAAATAAAAAATTTGTCCTATGAAATTCGACCGATTCGCTCAAAATATTGATGTTTTAAAAATAAAATTTTATTAAAAACTTTGATGTTTACAAACCTGGAAAAGGAAAATGTAATTTGCATATTTGGGAAAAAAATAATAATAAATAAATTTTGACCCTTGAAACTCGTCCGATGTGCCTAAATTATTGATATTTTAAAAATAAAATTTTCTTAAAAAATTTGATGTTTACAAACATGGAAAAAGAAAATGTAATTTGCATATTTGAAAAAAAAATAAAAATAAAAATTTTGACCCATGAAATCCGCCCGACCCGTCCAAAATATAGATGTTGAAAAAAAAAATAAATTTGATGTTTACAAACTTGGAAAAAGAAAATGTAATCTGTAAAAAAAAAAAAAATGGCCGACCCAGAATATTGATATTTTTAAAATAAAATTTCTTAAAAATTTTGATATTTATAAACATGGAAAAGGAAAATGTAATTGGCATATTTGGAAAAAAAAATAATTTTGACCTGTGAAACTCGGCCGACCCGCCCAAAATATTGATGTTTAAAAAATAAAATTTTTGATGTTTACAAACTTGGGAAAGGAAAATGTAATTTGTATATTTGTAGAAAAAAAAAAATGACCTGTGAAACCCGGCAGACTTGCCCAAAATATTGTTGTTTTAAAAATAAAATGTTCTTAAAAATTTTGATGTTTACAAACACGGAAAAGGAAAATGTAATTTGCATATTTGAAAAAAAAAAAAAAAAAAAAATCATAAAACCCGGCTGACCCGCCTAAAATATTGATGTTTAAAAAATATAAATTTTCTTAAAAAATTTTATTTTTACAAACTTGCAAAAAGGAAAATGTAATTTGTATATTTGTTAAAAAAAAAAAAAAAAAAATGACCCTTGAAACCTGACTGACCCACAAAAAATATTGATGTTTTAAAAATAAAATTTTCTTAAAAATTTTGATATTTACAAATATGGAAAAGGAAAATATAATTTGTATATTTGGGGAAAAAAAATGGACCCGTGAAACCAGCCCAAAATATTCGGGTTGGCCCAACCCAACCCGATTTCGGGTTGAGGTTGGGTTGGGATTGGGCTGAGTTGGTCTAGCCCAACTTGCTGCCCTAATCGTGAGTGAGTGAATTTTAGAGAAAGAAATGAGTTGAGTGCAATATAGAATAGATGTGTATTATTTGTTTATTATGTGCTGGGTGAAATATTGGTTAAATATGGGTAACCATAATGAACTTATCTTGATCCTCAAATTAAGTGATTAAAAATTACCTAACTCATTTTTGACCCATTTTAAATATGGTTCACCCAAAATCATAAAAAAGCGGACGAATATAAACTAATTGACGATTTCTAACTCATTTTGCAACCCCTAGTCTCAACACACACAGGACTATTCATATGCAAAATATTCTCACACAAAAACACACCCACACAAACACAAACTTCAATTTTTATTTGATAATAATAGTAGTGATCCTATTGGCCGGTGTGGATAAAGACAAATTAGAGATCTTGGAGGCTCCACACAAAGGCTAACCACTAGTCTCAAATGGACATATGTGCCATACAAAGACTACCAATTGTCCACAACCTTAAGTCCAGGGCAGTTGCTTTGTGTGACTGGCCAATATAATTATTTAGTGTTATTATTGCCCAAAAAATTTCTTTTTTGAAGTCGAATAATTTAGTAATCAGCATAACGGGTAGAAAATAATAAGATGCATCATATGGGAAACACGACCCCTATTATACATAAAATTGTCAACAATTTCCTTTAACAAGTAAAAAATAACTGACCTACCTCTTATGGACTTGTGCACACGTCTCTCATCTTTAACGGGCTCTGACGCTATCAATCACAAGTTCACGACCTATTCCATTTTGTAGATATTATTTCCATACTTAGGATTTTCAAAACTTGTCTACATAATTTTAAAGTATTTACTGTAACTTCTCCCTCATACACTACACAAGATATACCTATTGGTTAAGTTTTGTTTTACATTGTTTAGTTGATCTATTTAGTAAGACTAAATATTATTACTCTATTGCCAATGTTAAGTGGGTTTTGAAAATGTGATAGGCATGACAAAATGCTAACTAATAATAATAATAATAAAAAGACATGGCAAATAATCACTTAAGAATCTTTAATAATTGTTCTTATTATAAATTTATTCTTCTTCTTCTTCTTTTATCTTGAGATAAAAGTTTTCTACTATTGAGATTTGAGATAATGGTGTGAAATTTGCCTAATTTTCTAAATAATCAGCCCACTTGTTTGAATAAATGAGAGAGATTAATATGTCACGGCTTGCAAAATTCATTTCAATTGGATCTCTAAATTCCAAGACACGTTTTTTTTTTTTTTTTTTTTTTTTTTGATAATATTAGTTAAATCCACTTTTGACTAGTAGTATTTTTGTACTAGTATGTTGGATCATGATCGTATGTGCGCATAATTGGTTGTTGGAATGTTAGAGGGCTTAATAGACCCTCTATGCAGAAAGAAGTTAGGCAATGGGTTTTTGCTAAATAGTTTGCCTTGGTTGTTTTGGTGGAGACTAGAGTTAAAGTTATGAAAGCAGTTCGTGTTCAGAATAAAATTTGTTCTCCTTGGAATTGGATGGCTAATTATATGGCGAATACGTTAGGGAAGATCTGGATTGGGTGGAATAAGGTTGTTTTTGATGTTATTTTAGTGAAAGAGGAGGCTCAAACTATGCTTCTTAAAGTTAAACATTTTCATTCAAGTCTCACATTTTGGGTTTCTGCTATCTATGCTGCTAACACAGTTCAAGAAAGGAAGGTATTGTGGTCTGATTTGAAAATTCATGCTTCTTTGGTGGAGGGGCCTTGGCTTGCTTTAGGAGACTGGAATATGGTTTGTTTTCATAAAGAGAAATTAGGTGGTTTGAGGGTTCCTCAGCCAATCTTGATGAATTTAACTTACTTGTTAAGGACCTAAAAATGGAAGACATTCCAATTGATAGTGAGACTTGGTCCTGGTGTAATAAGCAAAGGATTCAGAAGAGAATTAATGCTAAGTTGGATAGAGTTTTGGCTAATGATAGTTGGTTCAATTTATTCACAGATTCCAAAACTTATCTCACTTACGCTTCTTTGTCTGACCATTATGGTTTGGCAGTTAAGTGGCATATGGACTGTTCTGAAGTACCTAATCCCTTTAAATTTTTGAAGATTTGGTGCTTGCAGCATGAAGTTGAGGATGTTGTAGCTCAAGCTTAGAGTTGTGCCGTCTTTGGTAATCCTTTTCATCAGCTGTAAAGGAAGCTTAGAGAGGTTAAAGCTGCTATTAAGGTTTGGAATCTCAAGAAAGACACAACCTCTGAGCAAGTTAAGGTTGCTAGATATGATCTTGAGGTGGTGCAGCTTCAGCTTTTGAATTATCATCTGAATTAAGACTTGATAGATAAGGAGAGAGCTTTAAGCCTTGATCTTCAGCATTCTTGTGATCTTGAGGAAGTGGTTTGGACTCAGAAATCTCGTCTCACTTGGCTTAAGGAGGGAGATAAATGTTCAGCATTCATTCATAATGTGGTGAAGCAGCGTAGATGTAATAATGCTATTACTTGTTTGAAAAATACAGATGGGGAGGTTTCGGAAGATCCAAAGGTTATTAAGGATTGGCTGGCCAATTTCTATGAAAATTTGTTTTCTACTTCGAACTCTGTTGATAATTCGGTTAGAAGGCCTAGAAAGTCTCTCTCTAAGGAGGCTGGTAGCACTTTGAACTGTGATATCAGTGCTGAAGAAGTCAAAAACGTAGTGATGAATTTTAATCCAGATAAATCACCAGGTTTAGGTGGTTTCCCAGCAAGGTTTTTTCAATGGTATTGGAGTATTGTTGGGATTGATGTTCTTGCTGCAGTGATGTTTTTCTTTCATAATAATTTTATGCCTCTTGGGATTAAAGCTACTTTCCTTACTTTGATTCCAAAGGAGGGTCATGGTGATAATATTGCTAACTATAGGCCTATTTCTTTGTGTAATTTTACCTATAAGATCATTGCTAAAATTTTAGCTAATAGGCTTAGAAGTGTGCTGTCCACTTTGGTTGGTTTGGAGTAATCTGCGTTTGTTAAAGGGCATCGGATTCATGATAATATTATTCTTGTGACGGATATGATTAAAGGTTTTGGTCTCAAGAGGTGGGATCCATCTATGGCTCTGAAGGTAGACTTGAAAAAAGCTTTTGATTCGGTTGAGTGAAGTTTTCTTGAAAATATTATGACGCTTCATGGGTTCAGTGATAAATGGATTTCTTGGTGTTTGAAGTGTGTCTCCAATGCTAATTTCTCTGTGCTCTGTAATGGATTACTTGCCGGCTTCTTCTCAGCTTTTAGGGGCCTGAGACAGGGATGTTATCTTTCCCCATTGCTTTTTACTTTAGTTGTTGAGCATTTCTCTTCCCTTACGGCAGCTAGTATCAATGATGGATCCATTAAGCTCTATAACGCGGTTGTCAATTTTGGTTTGAAGATTTCTCATGCTCTTTATGCCGATGATTTGCTTATTGTTGTTAAGGCTGGAATAGGTACTGCTCAATCAATTGTGGATGTATTTGAGAAATTTACAAGTGCCACTGGTCTCTCTATAAATAATGATAAGAGTTCAGTAATTTTTTCTAAAGCGGTTCGGTGTAAGAATCGGATTCTGTAAGTTTTGAAGTTCAGAGAAGAAAATTTCCCTTTTAAATATCTGGGTATCCCTTTGGCTAATAGATCTTTGAGAAGTTCTGATTACAAGCCTCTAATTGACAAAGTTGATGCTCGGTTGAATCACTAGAACACTCTTAATCTTTCTATGGCTGGTAAGATTGAGCTTTTGAGATCAGTCCTTTACTCTTTTCTTTATCACTGGTTGTTTGGCTTTAAAATTCCATGGGGCTGTAGGATCACTCTCGAAAAGAAGTTCAAGAAATTTTTATGGAGTGGTAAAACAGAGAGCACTAAGATGTCTCAGATTAAATGGAGTCAGGTTAGGCTCCCTCATGATTAATGAGGTTTTAATCTCCGTCGGATTAGTGACATTCTCCGTCGGATCAGTGACATTGATGTTGCTTCTAAGCTTTCGATCTGTTGAGATTTTGTTCAAAAGAAAGATAATCTCTGGATTAAGTGGCTGCAGGCTAGAAACTTTTCTTCTTCTAATTTCTGGACAATTAATTCTAGAAGTTCTAATTTAAAGTGGGCAATGGGAAGTCTTTCAATCTGCTTCACGATCCTTGGTGTGCTTCTCTTTTGATTGCTCAGAGATTTGGGGTAGTGTTTTTTAGAAATTTTGATTCTATGGCTAAGGTTGAGTCCATTGTTCATGGAAATCAATGGCGTTTTCCAGAGTTTTTTCCTTCATTGGCTAGAGATTTTATTTCTAGATTGCAGAAAAATGCTGGTCAAGACACTATTCTTTGGTAGCATGGCGTTTTTTCTTTGAAAGCAGCGTGGGAAGTGTGCAAACTGCGGGATCAGAAGCTGAAATGTTTTAAGCTTTGTTGGAAGGGTTGTAGACCATGAACTGCTGTGGTTGTTCATATTATTATGCTGAATAAAAATATTTCCTTTGTGAATTTGCAGAAGGGGGGTTTACAGGTGCCTTCAGTGTGTCACAATTGTTTTGCTAATGCAGATTTTAATGCTCATTTGTTCTGCTCTTGTCCATTGGCTAATAAGGTTTGGAAGGATCTGTTCAAATTGTTTAAATATCTGTTGCAGGACTTCATCTCTATGGATCAGATTGTGGATTGGTTTTTGCTTAATGCTTCTACAAAGAGCGCTAAATCTAAGATTCTTAGGACTGTGTTTTCAGTCACCATTTGGATAATTTGGAAGGCTCGGAATAAATCTTTGTATCAAGGTATCCAGGAAGATGTGGATCAATTAGTCAAGCAAGTTATTTGGGAGATCCTTCTTCTTCATAGCTTCTCTGTTTCGGAGCTGCTTGAATTATTCAATTAGCTTGATTGTTGCAATTTTTTGTTTCGGTTTGCTTGATCTGGAAGTGGGCTTGTCTACTTCTAGATTAGTTGTTTGGAGTGATTCCTCCCTTTTTGTACATATTTTCTGTTGTTTATAAAACCACTCATTCAGGAAAGAAAAAAAAAAAAAAAAAAAAAAAAAAAAACTGTGAACCGAACCGAACTAGTATTAGAATGGTATATGTCCAACAGAAGTGTTTTTTATTTTTTATTTTTATTTTTATTTTTTTTTATCATTGTGGATTGTGCAACGCGTACAACTCTGTAGCAGAGGGACTAGGAGGGGTTAAAAGCCAATGTTGCATAGATATGATGCTGTCGGTTGCTGCGGGCTTTGGGAATCAGCACATATTGCCTCACCACAGGGTTGCACACATAGTACCGGTAATCAGAGGCATTGAAGAACAAAAACAAGCCATTGTAACTGTCAAGAAAGTCATTTGCATTAGTCGTTTGGAATGGTAAGTTAGCCAAAAATTCAGAATCAACAAATCCTCCACCACCACCACTAATGGCACAGTTGTCTTCTACAAAAACATTATCAATGAGCTGTTCGTTGTCAAAGCGCCTCAAATTACGGAAAAATGCATCCCGTGATTGGTTGCTCGCCTTTGTGGTTACAAGGGGCATACGAGGTGGGAAAGCATAAGTACGGAAGAAAAAGCCACAGAGAGGAAGAGAGCAAAACACAGAGATTATATAATCCCATGATTTGCATACACATTTGAACCTAATCAGAGGCTTTTCCGGCAATCGACACAGTACCTCAATCAACACATCATCGGAAAAAAGCCCATTATTCGAATAAGGAGCACAAAGGCGATTCTTTTTATTCCAATTGCGACAATGAAGTATCATCACATATGCACATGTGTACATATATACATATATATAAAATTTATATATTTAGAGTCTCAGTTGCACTGTACCGTTACTATTTATTTCGAAAGATTGTACCTTTACTATTCCATCGGCACTTTTACCTTGGAATCTGAAGATCGCTGAAATCTATCTTCAATCGGAGTCCTTGCCTGAACTAGGGTTTCGAACTAGGGGTTAGCTCTGGTGGGCTAGAGCCCACTAAAAATATATATATTTTTTCTGTACTAACTTTAGTCCAACCTAAAAAAAAATTATTACAAGAATTAGCCCACACCCAAATCAATTCAGCCACCATACTAAAATAAAAGCCCAACCCAAATAAACCCTGGGCCGGCCTTGACCGAAGGGGACAAAGGCAGTCCCCTAGGTCACCATAAAAACAAAATATATTTAGGGCAAATCATTTCAGCCTCCCCAATTGTCTCCATCTCCATTCTCGTTCTCGACTCTGAACTTGCCCCTTTCTCTGCGCAAACTAAAAAATCTACAAGAATCAGAAGTTCAAAACTCATATATTTCAGTTTATCTATCTGTCTGCAAGAATCAAAAGTTCAAAACCCATATCGAGATATCATTTTAGATTATTCAAAAAATCAAAACCTAGATCTTTCAGTTCCCATCGCCCGCTGTTCCACTTCGGGTTCGCCGTTCGCAAGCTTCAGCCGCTGTCTCTCAACTCTCAAGCTTGCCCCCCCCTCCCTTCTCTCTCTCTGCAACTGCTAACTTGTATGTATGGTTTTGTTTTAATTTTTTTTCTAAATCAACTAATCAAGTCTGTAATTCTTGTTTTGCAAACTATATCGTATTTGGTGAAATTTTTTATGATCTTTTATATATATATATATAAAGTAACAAAATTTGCATTGCATTTTGAGGTAATCACCGTAATCTACATTTTATTTCAGTAAAATAAATATTTATTTTTTTTTCATTTCTATAACTTCTATTTCTATTTTTTATTTTTTATTTTATTTTTGTCAATTATGTCTACAACAAAATTTGAATCTGGGCATGAAAAAAGAAAAAAAAAAGAATCTGAATTGGATTAGAAATTTGCAGAGATTGAATCTGAAACAATTTTTTATCAACATGCCTAGCTTTTTTACATGGAAATCTTTTCAGAACTAAAAAAAATCATAACAAGAACATTGACAAGCAAAAGTACTTAATATATGGTAAAACTCTAAAGTTACTTCTTGAAAATTAAAATACTTGCAAAAAGCATGCTTTCGAGTGAATTCCATAGTGTTGGAAGGGGCTTGCCATGAACTACCTCACACTCTGCTTCCACTAGTAGATTCTCAAATAGAATCAGTAAATTGGTCAAAAGAAGAGTGGTGAATTGTTCAGAAATAAATTGGTAATTTTTTATTTATTAATTACCCAAATAGGATTTTCTATGCCTAAATCAGTCAATTGTCTAAAGAAACATTGTTAGTTAACTAAAATTGAATTAAACAACAGTTGATTTTGGTTGATATATTTTGATTTAGCCCACCCCATTAAGAAATCCTGGATGTTTTGTTTCACATAGAAATACAATCTGTGTAATGCACGGAAGATATATTTAATCTTTCTGCCATATTTTTATTTTCAAATTTTGGTTTTTGATTTTCTTTTGTTATTAGAATGCATAATATTAGGATATTGATTTGTTAATTTTGAAGATTATTCCTAAACTAATGCATTGTACTTTGTTATTGGATTAATTTAACATAAGAGCTGAGTATAATATGTGCTAATCACACTTATCCGTAATCACACCTATCCGTAATCACACCTCTTTCTACGAATAGGTGTCCAACATTTTGACTGAAAACATAGTTGTGTTGGGTTGATACATATACAGATAGTACTTAGATGGTGGTGTTTTAATTGTTATGAGTGAGATTGTGAAACCTCTTCCTCACAACTTGAGTGTTTTCTTATTTTTAGGGTTAGCATCGGGCCTTAACATTTAGCAAGTACAAGGTTCAAGAAACATGTCTCCTCAGTCATCAGGTAACAAACTCTTACTTTTTCTAAAATTTTAATTGGCATTTTTAGCTATTGGTTATGTTTATTTATTCATGTTTTACATATTGATTTTTTGTTTTTGTTTTTGTTTCTACATACATATATATAATATTATTATGATGTGATGCTCGAACAAGTTTATTAACGCTTTTAAAACTTTTCTTCTTTTGTCCTAATAATATAGGTCTCTTTTTTGAAAGAAGAGAGTTGATGGGAATGGGTGGAGTTGGCAAAACGAAAATAGGTATGTTTTTTTTGCCTAACTAATTGAATTATATAAATCTCCTTACCATTTCTCTTTAGTTTATCTTAATCAAATGTATATCTATGCAAGAGGATTGCGTGATTCTAGATGACGATTCTAGATAAGGATGTTAATGTCAACATTATGAGGATGTTGATGTCAATGTTATGAGGATGTTGATGTCAACTAGTGACGACGAGAAATGATGTTGATAATATGTTGATGCACTCAAATTAAGGCAAAGCACTTGGAATTGAAGTAAATTTGGAGTTGAAGACATACTATTGAGCATAGTGTCTAATTCTTTTAGTTACAAGAATCTTTGGTCACTTCACTCACGATTTTTCAGTTTATGAAATTCTTAAACAATGGTGTGTAATATGATTCATCTACTTAGGCTTTCTTCTTTTTCATCTCTCGAAACCCTAATTTTATCTGTGAAAAAGAAAAAGAAGGCTGCAATTTTAATTTATTTTGAGCATTGAAAGAGCTTCTGAAATGTTGAAACTGAAACAACAATGAAAAGAGAGTCCACCTATAAGAATTACCCAACTTAGGACAAAATAAGCTCTCTGAGCATCTTGACTAATATTGGCATGGGAGACTTCTATAGATATGGACTTGTTGAGAGAGATAGATGGTTGGGGGCACAAAAGTGTACGACTACTGTGAACTAGTTTGTTTTATGCATCGGATCTAGGAAGTGTACAACAATGAAATGGAAAGCTCTGATGCGCTCAAAGTTACAGACAGAGATAATAATTAATATTATATATTTATAACTTACTTTACTAATCTAATATGATACTATGTATATCATACATACATATATATATATATATATTTGTAACTTTATACTTAGATATATTTTGATTTAGTCCACCCCATTGAGAAATTCTGGATCCGCCACTCCTTGCAAGTTTACTGTCTTATGTTCCAAATGATCAATGTGACTTTTGTGCATGCAAAATCCTTTTTTTGTCATTTCTATTTTCCTTTTCTTTTTTCAAATGAATCAAAGCATGCACAGCGGAACTATTTTCCTATTCTTTTGTGCAAATGATGATATAGGTTAGGTCTGGAACCGGTTTGGCCCTCTCAGCACCCTCAATTAACGGGACAACTTTTGTGCAGATGAATGATCAATGTGATAACAAGAACAAAGACAACTTGTGAACTTGTATAGATCTGATTTCAACTTTACTAATGCTCCAGAATAAAGAAAAAAAGAAAAAAGTAGCCCACCAATCATTAGATGAATCAGAAATTCAGAATATTCTAATGTCTTGGGATTAAATTAATGATCCATTTGATAATTTTGAATCTTTGATTGTTGAAATGGAGAAACAGAAGAAAAGAAGACATAGCTGAAACTTAAAAATTTTGTGTGATTTCAGCCTGGTAGATTCCAGAGATTGAATCATTGAAACAAGAAAAATACATAAAACATGTTTTGGAACTTTACCATTTAGTAAAGTAATCCTTTGATTGAAATTTGAATTGAAGCCTTTGAAGGAGACGGTGGGACTGTGGACAGTGTGGAGGCCGAATTAACAATAATTTTCATCAGAATTGCGACTTTGCCTTTTCTCTGCGAGACTGCGACTTTGCCTCTGGAAATTTTTATTTCTGTATTTTGAAAATTTAGTTCTAGGCAGCAGGGCTTGTTTGGCTTTGGGCCTTTGTTTTTGTATTGTGTGATTATGTCTTAGCTGACTTATTTTTTGTTTTGGGCTGGGCTAAATTAGGCTATAGTAGTAAATTTTTTTTTTTTTTTTTTTTTTTTTGTTTTGGGGTGGGCTTGAATCATTGGATCCTTATGCTAGCTAGGGTTCTTCTTCAACCCTCTGCCTCCTTTCCGACACACCCCACATATTTATTACACACACAAGCGCTCCTTCCCTATTTAGTTGGGTTGCCTGTCAACTAAGAATCCCCTATTCTGCCGCGAGAGCCGCCATGAGAACTGGTAAACTTCCATTAATTTGTTTTTTTTTTTTTAGATCTCGAATAATATATTTTGTTTGTAGATTCCGTGGACATGGATTTAGTAGTAAATTGTCTCCAAAGCATCATTGTTAAAGGCGCGCCCAGGCTCGCGCCTAGGCTCGAGGCTTAGGTTTAGCGCCTGTTGTCATCCCAGATTCACTGATGTTTACTAGGCGCGCGCTTCGGTTGCACCTCATCCTATTTGTGAGACGCGCCTTATTGATATTTGTTTAAAAAGATACGATTGTTATATTTCTTAAGCCAAAAAGGGTACTTTTGGCAACTTAATAAACAAAAAAGAAAGCCAAAGCATACGATAGAAGGAACTTTGTACAAAAGAATAAAAAAATTAGAAAGCCCCAGAGTTAAAGTGTTAACCGAATAGCAATAGAATGAGATTATGAGACGAAGACGAAGCCCTAGTTGCAGAGATGAACAACGAAGCCGCGTCATTTCTATTTATTTATTTATTTATTCTCTCTCTCTTCTCCTCTAGATCTTCCCTCTCTTCTTATCTTTGTTTACATCTCTCTCTTCGTCTAGTTCTCTTCTCTCTGTGTCTTTTTTTTTTTTTTTCTTGTTAATTATTATTATTATTTTTGTTAAAATATTTATTTCTTTTTGTGCTTTGTTTTGCCATTCAAAAAAACACATTTTGCTTTACCTTTCAAGAAAACAAATTTGTGCTCTGTTTGGTTGTTGGATGCTTGTATAGTTGATGGATTTACTTTTTTATATTTGATATTAATTTTTAGAATATTGTTATGACTTATGAGATATGTATGTTATTATGGTAGTTTAAATTTTCAATTGTGCGCCTCACTTCACTCAGGCGCGTGCCTCACCGTGGGCCTCGCGCTTAGGCTCCAAAGGATCTCTAGCGCCTTGGTGGGCCTTGGGCCTTTAATAACACTGCTCCAGAGTGAATGTGACTGGACTGGCTGCCAACGGTCAAGAGCTATTCACTGTAAGACATGTCCATATGTCACTGCACTCCACGTTCCAATTCCAGTTTCGTATTTCCATATTAGTATAAATATAAGTTTTTTTGCTGTTTCATTAACTCATATTTGTTTAATATATATATATATATATATATATATATATATATATTTATTTATTTATTTTTTCTGTTTTAGTAACTAATTTTTTTTCGCCCACTGCAGGTGGAGTCTACCATAAGTAGTTCATATAGCTACAAAGTTGACAGCACTTACCCAATTGGTTTTTGGGACGAACAGACAAAAACTCATTTTTTTCACTATCTCAACAATCATCTGAACAAGCTATTCATCCTGGAGTCAGCTAGAATTACAAATACTATAAGCCCACACAAAAAGATTTTTCTGATAGCGATGGAATATTGATTGAATTCTGGTGTGGGTCCATAAAGTGTGTAGTTTTTTTTTTTTTTTCCTTTCATTATTGTTTATTTATTTTGTAGTGTTCATTAAACTGTAGATATCATTATTGTGTATTTTTCTTTTAGAAATATTTTGCAAGCCCTGGAAATGCTCCATGAGAACAATATGGCGCATGGGAATCTTGACTACCTTGAGTCATTTGCAATAAGAAAAGAGGAAATTTATTTGCTTCTCCCATCTAAGGATGGGAGCAAGAGCGAGATTGGTGAAAATGATTTGGATGAAATAAATGTAAAAGATCTTTAATGTGTCGTCAATGAAATAGTAGGAAAAGCAGGGGCTGTTGATTGGGACAACTTTTTTGCCTAAATCTTTGTTTGTATATCTTTCATTGCCATGGTTTTTGTTATGTAATAATTTGGGTGTTTCATAATTTGATTTTTGTTGTTCTGTAGAGCTGAGAAGTTGAAGGGGCATCCAGTGTTAATGAACCCCTCTGAAAGGGCTGGATTCATGTCAGATGCATGTGATCACCTAGGATTTGCTAATAAAGTCTCATATCCGATTATGAAGATGGAGTTCAACAAGGTCGCGACGTCATATTGTTACAACATGGTGGTTGGGAAAAGGATGTTCATGGTCGTAAAATTCCTAAGTTGGTATTTGATTGTAAGTCTCGTAAGGTCCCTCAAAATATTCCTAATGAGGAATTCCATATGTTCAGATTTGTTAAGAATTATCTACATCATGCTGGTCCTGAAGCAAGAGAAGATCTTAATTTGTCATTTTCAAAAAAGGAAGCAGGTTTGGAGCTCTCCCATATGTTTCCTGGATACATGTCTTCTGTCTACACTACTTTGGTGACCAAATTTCCAAAGTTGAATATTTGGTTAAAGGAGTGAAGAAAGTACTCTCTATTTTCATAACTAAATATAGTAATTCTCGCTTTCTTAAAAAGAATCTAATCATATATAATTCTTGTTTGTTCATTTGATGTTGTTAAGCATGCTATTGTTATGTATTGTCTTGTGTTATCTGTTTAACTTCTACAACTAAAGTTTAGGATTGACTCTGTATGTACAATTTTGTTCATTTTTAGTTAATGCACGACAGTTTGATTTTTTTGTTGTTGTTTTCTTTAGTGTTACCACTAATTGAGGTGTTACAATTCGGGCCTAGTTAAGTGCGCCTATGTTTAGCTTGTTGACTGTTTCTAATGGTTGCAGGTCATTGTGGATGAACATAGGTCGAAAGTTCTTTTTTGGCGCCAAGTAATGTTCGGTTGGGATATGTACTGGGAGTTTAAATATTTAAAATATAACTTGTTAAACTGGTTTTTCTTTTGCTGTGACAATGTTTGGGATCTGTAATGGAGGTTTTAATATATATATATATATATATATATATATATATATATATATATATATGTATAAAAGGTTTTGTCATGCTCGGTAAAATTTTGTTACTAAAGATTTGTCTGTTTGTTACAAGTTACGTGGCGCAAGGAGGAACACATGTTCCTCACCTGATGGAACCAGCTCTCCTGTAGCGCAGGAGAGGATTTTGTTCCTCAAAATCGGAGTCAGAATAAGTCTAAAAAAAATTTAAAGAGGGATCGATTTCCGTTCTGATACCATGTTGAAAGAGAGAGAGAATATATGAAAACTTATATGTTATTGAGTAAGTAATACAATAATACAATGGTGTTTATATAGGAGAAGCTACGGGAGTAGGTGAGTGGAGAACAAGAAAACCTTATACATGATAATTCTATATATGGTAATGAGGGGTAGGTGACAATTCATGCAATACTAACCGTATACGTGTGACAACTCATACAATATCGTACAACAAAATATAATGTTGAAAATCCTAACAAGTGATATATTCAATTAGAACTTCAAATTCTTAACAGTAAACTCAAGATTTAGCACATAACCTAAATTTGTTTTCACATAATAAATTATACGAGGAGCACCCTATATCAAGCATCTATAACTTGAACAAAAACTTCAGTAAACACTTTTATTAGGGAGCATAATATGTAAGATCAAGACTAATGAAGTAGAAAGAAAAGAGAGGGAAGAAGAAAAAGAACTTAACTTCCAAGTCTCTTGAGCATAAACTATGTTAAAAAAAGGTGTAAAGAATCAGGCTAGTGTCCTCCAGTGCAAGATTGTATTGCGTAAATTGATTGCATCTTAACCCTAGTGTAAGAAGGGTTTTACTCTAGTCACGTGACTCGTGTGCCAAGCAATGATCACTTAAGTGACAACGTGGACTCCCTATGCATTATAAAGTAAAGCTAACCATTAGACAAATGTGCCAAACAAATCATACATGTAATATAAGGAACATAATGGAAATTAAAAAGTTAAATAAATGAGAATTCCAGGAAAGGATATGTGGCATGTAAACTATCTAGCGAGAGTAAAGCTCTTCTCATATTTAAGAGCTAAAACACACACACACACCTCGCTTCGTATTCTCAGTGCGGCATAAGCACAAAAGTAGTATTCTCAGTGCGAGGTTCACGTATAGTTTATTTGGCTTCAAGGCCTCTAGAACTTGCCCCAAGTCTGATGCATGACTGTCTCGTTAAGAACTACAAATGGGTATATCACCAATGTTCATGAGATTGAACTTTACAATTAATGGTTAAAGGGTTTAATTTGTCACATTTGTAGAACTGTAGACCAAATGGCATGATTAGTCACTAATACCATGATTAGAACTGTCTTCATGAGTCCTGTATGGGGTGAATAGAGGCATATTCTGCTAATTGGTGCAATTTGAGTAAAGGGGCTTAGGAAACAATAAAACTCATGGAAATCCATAGTGCAGTGGTAAGGGAGTAAGGTTATGTTCTCTTTTCCTTGTCTAGTATTTGGTGAAGTTTGCTAGGTACGTAGAAGAGGTCATGGAGAGATGAAGGGTGGTTGTGTTGGCCAAAGCATGAGAGGTTTTGGTAGGCTTCTATTTTATTATGCCTTCAGTAGTGCATTTTGTAAGGAATGTAATATGCGCTTTTGAAGGGGCCGAACTGCCTGGTTGAATTTAAAGCATTTAATACTGAGTTTCAGGTAAGATTATATTTTTTCTATGATTAATTTTTGGAGATAAGGTTTTGGTTAGTTATAGTTTTCTTCCCTTACATGGAGTGCGTTTCATGGAGCTTTAATGTATTATTTTTTCTAAGCAATATTAGATGCACAAGATAACATTTATTTTCTTTTTGTCTTCTTCTTTTGGACAAAATAGATCATTGGAGAAGTTTTTGGAAATTCCTGGCAATTTTGATAAAGACAAGGCATGGAAGATTACTCTTTAGATCGTGGATGGGCTTGTGGAAGTCCATGTAGCCGGTATCGTACGCCGCGATTTGTCACCGGCAAATATTTTACTTGATGAACATGATGACATCCGCATATCGGATTTTGGTTTGGGTAGGTACTTTTATATACTTTATTTGCTTCAACTCAACTTAACAAAGCCTTTTCCCAATTATTTTTTCATCTATGTAATTCTGTTAATTGCTTATTCAGTAAGTAATTATTCCTTTTCTAATTCATTTTCCAAATTTTCAGCCAAACTAGGAAATGGTGTCAATGATGAAGTTGCAACATGCTCTATCGGTCATCAACTCTATAATGCACCTGAACTAAAAATGAGACCAAGGCTATATATATCAGCATTAGTGTCAACTTCCATTTCCATTTGCTTGTCTTTTAGTTCAGGTGCATTATAGAGTTGATGACCGATATATACAGCCTTGGTCTCATTTTTGTTGTGCTTTTTCACCCCATATCAACACAACATGAGAGGATTGTTGTTTTTCAAAGTCTGAGGGTGAACAAAGAATTTCTAAAACGTTTTGTGCAACAACTACTGTCTTCAATTCCTAGTGAAAGACCAACTGCGAATGGAATATTGCAGCAACAAGCACGGGTTTCATCATCATCAGTAAGTGAGTGATTTGATTGAATTCATAGTTTATTGCTTCAAAATTTTCTAAATTCGTTTTATCATTAAATTTTGGAGCAAGGAGTCGGGAAAGATTCTCTGGATGTTTTAAGATTTATCCCTTTCTCATCTTCAAAAATTTTGTTTTGCTGGCCTCATATCACCCGGGGAAAATTAAATTTTAGTGACCAAAATCAAAGAAAATTGTCTGCAAGTGACTTTAAAGTTATAAAAAGATAAAAGTCATCAATCCTGCAAGAAATTTTCTTTTAGTGACCATTTAAGGTTAATTTCGTCAACAAGTTTTATTTGGTTAGTGAAATTAATTAAATAATTAAAACTTTTTTGGATTTAACAAAAGGTTGAATATTTCAGCCACCACCTTTTGCGAAGACTAGAGAGGATTTAAACAGTTACTGAAGAGGTCTTCAATCAGTTCTGTAAGATGGAAATCGAGTTGTGAAATTGATTTAAATTTTTGTTAGCAGATATTATAATCACGATTAAGTGACAAGCTACATAATGAAACATAAATAAATTATGAAACAGAGTCTCATAAACTAAAGAGACAACACAACCATGGAGAAACAATTAACACATGAAAAAACCAACCACAGTTCTCCTAGTCATCTTCATCTACTATGTATTTCTTGAGCAACTCGGTGCAACCAGCTATGGGCTGATCCCTCTGGGAGGTGATAAAGTTGACGTTATGGATGTCAGGTGCAATGCCTTTGTATCGGGTGAGAATAACATGAGCACGGTCATGTCCACTGCTTGGTGTAGCACAGTGAGACTGTGGGCTGGTAACAACCTTCACATCACACATCTCGTCACCGCAGTCACCGGAGACCTCAATGTTGTATATCCCGGTTGAGCTAGTCACCCCCCTCGATGCTGTACTTGAGATCCTCAATTTTCCTATCCTTGCACTCAATTCTAACCCTTGCACCAGCAATGTTGGGGGTTTTGTCGGTTTCAAATCTGGCGTAGCAAGTGTCGCATAGAATATGCTATAGAATATGTTATGATTTGATTTAGATTTGATGTAATTTCCTTTCTTGTAATATGAGCATGTGCTCTTTTTATCTATAAATACTAGAGCTGTGAAGGAGAGATTATCTCATTTCTAGCATTTACACAATTCTTTCATTTTTCTTCTTTTTAAATTTCTTCTATTTACATATGAGAAAGATGCACAATCATAAAGTTTTTTTTCTTCCAAGAAATGATATGAAACTATTTGGAATTCAATAAATCAATAAATTCAATAGAAGTATTAAAGGAGAATGAGGAACTGGATTTGGAGATCTTTTGTGGAGAGGAAAGTGGTGGCCGAGGGAGGAGATATGAAACAAATTGTTAGACCAAGAGGGGGAGGGGGGTGAATTAGTCCTTAAAATAACTTTTCTTCTTGTATGAGCTCTTATAAAACACTTTGAAACCTTGTAATGGATATTCAGGTTCTATAGAGCTTGATGTGAGCTTGGTAGTCTTGAAACCCTAATCCAACTCAGGTGTTTGATAAAAGTACTCAACCACAACTTAAGAGTGACACCACAGGTTTTTTAACAAGGAAAAACCCCAGTGGGGTTTAAAAAACCTTGGAGCTATGGGAGCTTACCCTAATTTCCACTGTGAATGATTAGTGTATACACACTTAATCATAGTATTGCTTATTTAAAATTTTGTTGTGAGAATACAATGTCATAGTATTGCTTATTTAAAATTTAATTTAAATTAGTCCGAATTCATTTACTCTTTACATAATTTATTTTGCTGCGGTCCCCTCCCACATAATCTACATTTTGAGAAAAAAAAAAAAAAAAAAAAAAAAACCCTACCTTCGAGGAGACCAATAAATAGTGACAAATGGATCTGACTGTATTAACTTTCAGTGAAATTGATCAAAAGGCAATGCTTCACTATCATCAAACCCTAGCATCTCTAGATCAAACCCGGTCCCAAGTCACATCCTTGTGAATGAATACCCTGTGCTGTTGGATCATCCATCATGTAGGCCCCACAACCACATCCAATGGCTTGGAGACCCTGAAGAATGGTACTCCCTGGGTATTCTACAATTTTTCATGTTGTCCATTTCTCTAATTTTTTAAAATTTAAAATAAGTAACAAGTATACCTGGCTCATATTTTCGAACCACGGCTTAGAACCTCCTCCTTCCCCGGGGAAGTTGTCTTAATGTTGAGTGGGTCCACCGTTTTGGTGGTGTTTTCAGGCATCTTTATAGTAGTTGGACCTGTAATTGAAGCAGGTACAGGTATTTCTTGCTTCTTGCCTTTCCATTTCCAAATTGTCAATACAACCATCTGATTGTGATGACGATCACCAGAACAATGACTGAAACAAAAAAGGAATCTTTAATTAAAAAAAAAGAAAAAAAAG